TTGGCAAGTAGCCAACGGGGCAGAGAGCGCGCCCTGGGGAGAGGCGCAGAGACATTTTTTTCCAGCGCGTAACCGATTGGCTATGCCGTCGGCATCCCTTTAAGAAACCTGTTTTTTACAAATTTTTTTCAGGCAGTTGTACCGTTTGACCGTCCCGAAATTGCCAAGTTCTAGTCGTCTTATAAAGTGTTTATTAAAGGGGCTAGGAAGTAAAAATTCATGCTTTCGAGGATAGAATCTATTTATCAAAAATTAAAGCGACACTGCCAAGTGTACCGACAAATTCGTTTCGTAGCGAAAAAAGCGAAATATTTGAGAACAAAATTTCTGGGGCCAAAATCGCCTTTTCGAGCATTTCTGAGAATCGCGGATTTCTTGTCGTAATGCGTGACCTCTAAGTTGATTTAATCTACGTACTCTCACGTTTCACGTCAATTACGTGAAGTACGTGACTCTTATGACTCGTAAGTCAATTTATCATTCTAGGCTACTTTATTTTCGTTTTATTACATTACTATGTAAGATATTACAAGAAGAGACTATTTACGGAGAACCGATTTTGCAAGTTCGCAGAGGGCCTTAAGTACTGTGAGTTAATGATTTCGATACATTCGTAAAACAACTTTCCATGTGAACTCTCATCATAAAGTGGCTGAAAATGTTGGACAATAATTTAACTGATTGATTGCGAAATACCTCTAATCATGAAACATAGAACAGCTACTTGTCTGAATTGATCCAAAAAAAATTTAAAAATGTTTGTGCCATAAATGAAACCCGAAAATTTCGGGGAAAACCCATCAGAATTTGAACACTTTTTTAGCATTGCGCTTTGAGTTTTAAGAAATGTAGTCCTACACGACCCCAAATTCCCGCTTTCCAAGAATTCCTTGCCGGAATAATTCGTAAAACATTTTATTTCATATCTAAACCTACCTGAAAATTAATACAGCCTGGTAACTGGGTTTTGTTCATCTTTTCTTTCAGTCATTTACAGTAATTAACATCAACGATTGATGGCTAAATAGCTCGAGCCATGACGATAAATGAAAAACGGTGGTATCCGAATTAATCCTAAAATTTCTAATTGTTTGAATTATGAATGAAGCATGAAAATTCAAAAACCACCAAAATTTAAACCAAATTGTTTTAAAACTTGCATTTTGGGTTTTAAGCAATGTGAACCGGGGATTCCCACTTCCTAGACCTTCCATGATAGAATAATTTGCAAAACATCTATGTTTCATATTCAATCCTAATTATAAGGCAATTTAGACTGGCAATTCCTTTTCCCTCAAATCCGACGTATCTTGCAGGCCTTATAATATAATCCTTTGAATGAATTACGACATAAAATTCCATAAGCCTAGGCATTTGACCGCAGATTTTCGTTCCCTAATTTCTGATCGCACCTTTTTAGAGGGAGCTTAAAAAATTCTCATGTTTTCGTAGCGGACGACGGGCCGGACGGGCCAAGCGGGAATACATCAAATTTTTTTGACGCCTTTCCTTCCTGGCCTCGCTCTCTCTCCCTCTCTCTCTCTCTCTCTCTCTCTCTCTCTCCCGCCTCCGGGACACATCCAAATTGGAATGGATACATCGAATTGAGGGCTCCCCCCCCGTCCAGTTTTACCACTTTTCCTCATTTGCCCAAACCCACGCGCCTCCTGGGTTTTTTTTTAATTTCCGGGGCATCAAACAATTAAAAGGCCAAAAAGCGTTTGTAGTTAAAACTCGATCGAAACTTACAAGATTTTTCGATAGAAGTAAAAAACCAAGTATTCTGCTAGAGGCCGCACCTGCAAAAAACGTGTTTTGCTTCCAAAGCTACCTGAGAGCGCTGATTTTTTATTAATCTTCCCAGGAAAACCTCACGAATAGCACATTCTTGATTACCTCATTGTTTTAGCCAAGTTTAAGCAAGAATTTAGAGCTTCGAAGTATAGTGGCTTCGGCTCACTTAAAAAATCATGATTTTCTAGGGCTGGTGCGTTATTGGGGGAGGTGTTTTTCCTAGAAGTCGAAAAATGCCTATTATCCCATTAGAGGTTTAAGGAGATACCACAACTAAAAACTTCAAATTTTGCTCAAAAGCCGTACTTGTAATTGATACTTCAAAGGTAAAATTAACTCAAAATTTAATGTGGTAAAAATTGGCCGTTTTTGGTCAAAAAATCTATAGTATTTGTATTCTTTAAATAAAATTTGAAAAGTTTTTGTGCGTTTATAATGCTACAAATAATTTAAGGAAGTCGTCTCTATCTATTAGATGAATATTCTAATCGGATTTTATAGAAAGCCCCCCCCCCCCGCCATAATGCAAAAGCACCACTGAATACGACGATTAAATTTATATGATTCAAAATCTATATAATACTCTATACTTCTCCGCCCACCCCGGGTGGGCCCCCCCTAGGGGGGACAGAGGGGGGACTGAAAGGGGGGATGGTGGGGGGCCCACCACAGGGCGCCCTGCCAAGCACGGCGATTCATCCTTTAAGAAAAACGCGCATGAGAGGGGAAGACGGGGCTAGCCTACGGCACGCTCCAATCGACGCGCAATTGGTTCTTAAAGCAAAGGGGGGTCCGTCTTCTGCGCTCTCAAGCCTCTGTAACTTTTTTATACGGCAGTTTCATAATCTGAGTGACCGCTCAAAAAATAGAAGAGACTTTGCTCTATCTTTTAATAGTGGTTTTGTCAAAATCGAGCGTTGGAATCGAGCCTTCTGATGGTTTGAAGTTTGAAAAATGGGGTGCATATTATCGTCTGAGCTCAAATCCAGCTAAATCCTGGCCCAACCCCCTCAACTACATTTTCTGGAAGAGTATCTGTCATGAACTACCCAATATTGAGTCAAAATGGGCTTTTAAAAATTTACGCGACGATTCCAATTCAATGTTTTCTGAAGTTTTCAATTAGCTATAACCTTTCTTTATGACGGTTTTCGAATCTACTAGCAGACTAGGAACTAATTGTAAGAGCAGACCTTCCTCTATCTTTTGCACCTAGTTTTAGAATAGCCCAACGCAGAAATTTAGCGAATGGGTCCTGTAAGAGGGTGCGATAAGCTTACGATCTTTACTGGCCTATTCCGCATGGAGAGAATGTTCCGCTTGGATTCTTAATCTCTTTATTCGTAGCGAGTCTATTGGCTGCATGCCTCAGGGGGGTAGGGGGCACGGTCATTTGGGGGGGTGGCAATCTATTCAGTAGGTCGATAAACTTTTTTAATGTAAAGTATACATTTAACCGTAAAAACCAAGCCTTATTTTTATTTTGACAAACGGCCCACCGGGGGAGAATTCAATTTTGGCAGCCGGCTGACGGGCCGCAGAATTTTTTGTGTGGAATTGTGTGGAAGAGTGCAAGCTGGGGACGGAAATGATCTCCCCTGAAAAACAGCCCACTACTTATTTGCCTTTTCTTCCGGTTTTTTTGACGGGATTTTTTTGCGCGTTCTAATTTTCAAAGTCGCAAAGATGTCAGAGCCGACTCCCATTAAAATTAGTTGTTCTCGGTCAATCACGTATTTTGAATGAAACATTTCCTTTTCCTTCCTTTTCCGGTTGGCTCAAATTTTCGCTATGCGCTCAGAAATCTCTAGTAACTTTATAGCGAGCCGTTTAGTAAAATTTTACGAGATTTCTAAAACACTTCCAAATTTTTGAAACATTGTTCGAAAAACCGATATTTTTGTATATTTTTAGATACAAGTTCGCAAAGTTTTTAGGCTCTGGCATAATTCAAACCAGTAGGAATTTTGGGTAAGAAACCTCTAGTTATATAGAACCGACCCTCGAGAAAAATTATGATAATGGGCAAGCGCCGAGTAGCCTAAAGGCTTGAAGAAATTTGTGCCGCCAAGCATCAAGCTGCCATTATCGAAGAAATCAGGTTTTATGGACTGCCTCTTTTGAGAAACTTCATTTTTCTGAAGATGAAAATCTCATTAAATTCCGATAATTCATCTCTCACTCATCTCTCTCTCACTCTCTCTATCTCTCTCTCATCCCTAATTACACCAGAACTAATTATTAATATCAGTTCTCTCATGTTCCCTTTCCTGTTTCTCTTGAATTCTTAAGGCCCTGAATCTAGTCTCGTTTTTGCAGACTGCCCATTTTCCCCGAAACGCATTTCTCTTTCGGGGGTCATCGCAATCGATCGCTGGATCGTGAGAATAATTTTTCCTGTGATCCCAGAAACGCTTATTAACGTTACAGTATGCGTTTTAATAAAGTTTCTAGTAAAATTTTACTAGATTTTAAGTGGTATACTTTTCAAAAATCACAAATTTTGCACTTTTGGTATAGATAATCAGTTTAGTAGAAATTAGAAAAATTGGATTCTAAGGAAAAGTGGCGCGGCAAGCGCCGAATCGGCGTAAACGTTCCAAGCATTTTTTGCAAGTTCATTATCCAGGCAAACCGAGCAGCTATCACCGAAGAAATCACGTTGTTTGAACTACCTCTTTTTCTGAAACTTCTTTTTACAATGAAAAAATACTATTAAATTTCTATAATTCATCTCTTCGCTCTCTCGCTCTCTCGCTCTCTCTCTCTCTCGCTCGCTCTCTCTCTCTCGCTCGCCGTCTCTTCTCATTCCCAATTAACCCAAAACTAATTATTAATATCATGTTCTTTCTGTTCTCACACGTCTCCTTTTCTTTCATGTTTCACTTGAATTCTGAATGCCCTGAATCTAGTCTTGGTTTTGCAGACTACCCATTTTCCCCTGAAAGCCATTTTGCTTTCGTTGGCCATCGCAATGCAAGACCCGAATCGCGAGATATTCGTAAGTTTAGAGATGTATTAATTAGCGTATAAAATCGATAATCATAAATACTAATAGTAAATAAAATTGATGCCAAATAAGAAAATTAAAGAAGTTGTTGGTATGGCGTTTCAAATGGTGTAACAAAGCTATTCTAACGCCAGAGAGGAATTAATTGAAAATATAGCGATCTTTAGCTTAATTCCAGTGCAACACATTTTTTCAGGCGGCCTGCGAGGCGGAATGTGCTCTATGGATCTCGCGATGTGTCCCCTCAACGGTGCCCTCAGGCTTTATTTGCCAATTAAATATACTCGTCTTCCTCGTCGTCATCTTTCTTGCTGTTTTTACAGGTGGGAATTGACTTTAATATATATCGCCCTATCTCTATCCTTCTCTCTCTCTCTCGCTCTCCCTCTCACTTTCTCACTCTCTCACTCTCTCTCCCTCTCTTTAATTCTATCACTCCTTTAGCGCAAGGTCAAAATCCCAAGTTTAGGATAGAATGTTTCATTACAGTTAAATAAAGGAGGCGCGTCAACTCAATAATTAGCATAACATAACAAGTAACTAAAATGGTGCAAAGTATGTGAATTGCTAGGGAAACCACTTTGTTCTAAAATTAAAACGACATTTGGAAAATCTAGTGTTTCAAATAACTGCAGACATCTCCAAAAAATGGGATGACTAATGTGCGATCGGATTCTTTCTTCCTACGCTAAAAAATTTCCATTGATGAAGAAAATAAAAGTTTAGAATGTCTTAATAATACAAAATATTGGTTGTATATACAAAAATAATATAAAATATCGTATAAACATGCGGGACTTAACAACAAAAATATAAATAAGCCTGGGAGCCGAGATCCTGCTATATATAAAAAAATAGTGTTTGTGTGTGTAGACACTTTGCATAAAAGGCTCGAAAAAACCGGGTTATTGAGATATCAGGACGGGAAAAGCGTTTTAGGGGCCAAATGAAACGTATTTAGGGGTATTCGAAGGCGTAGATTACTGCGCGCTTATCAGATTTTTAACAAAATGGCGATTTATACCTTATTTTAGTGTTTTAAAAACATATGGAAATGTCCTCATTTGCATACGAGCCGTTAAGGGGCTCATTTCGGATTTTGCCACGCGCATTCGGTCGCTTTTGTTTTATTTAGTTGAGAGGTTGGCGCTAATTCGCTAGAATTATGCAAAGTGAGTAGCTTTTAGAGATACCCCCGCAAAGACCAGGGGTGAAAAGCCGCGGAGCGGCTTTTCAACCCTGGTAAAAGTTAAAAAAGTGCCAACACTTTCGAAATTCTCTGTTGCAAAGAAATGCATACCTCGGAGAAAAATGGACTGGACATTCTGGACACCTCTCCAAAAATCGCTGCAATTCCAGGAGTCGTGGTGCCGATCACGTGTCTATTCTGCTTCGTATTTGGGGTCCCGCGACGACTTCGAAGTTGGCTGTGTTCCGGTGGTGATGGACGGAATGAGGATGAGGCCAAGCTGAACCCGAATCGAAGTGGATTTCTATGTGAATGCTTTCTGCACTTTTTCTATACCCCCAGAACACCCTTATATGCCTTCTATGCTTCTCTGCTTCCATTTGCTATCAGATATAGAGATTTAGAGGTTCATATCGGTGAAATCTCAGAAAACCAAAACAGTGATTTCGCATGGCGCTAATGCACTTGGAGGGGGGGGGGGGGGGGGGTCACGCCGTCCGAAACTGATGGTAAGCGGTTACAAGGCGCTCCGCTTAAGCTACTTAGTTGCAGGGTAAGCCCAGGCTTTGGCTTAGCTTTACCTAGGCTTAGCTTGGGCTTCGGTTTATGCTTAAGCCTAAGCTAAGCTTAGCTGAAGAAATGCCTTGAAATGCCTTACGAAGTCAAAATGGGGTCTTTTGGGCTTAACTTCGAGCTAAGCTTAGCTTGGTTCAAGCTAAATCAAACCAAGTTTAGGCTTCGTTTGAGCTTGTGTGAAGTTAAATCTAGGCTTGGGCTTGGCTTAGCTTTTGCAGATGCTGAGAGGTTAAAAACGGCGTTTGGAGCCTCTCTTAGTCAAAATTCGGACTGTCCCTGCAAGTGCATTAGCACCTTTCGCATTATCGGGGGAGCATTTTTTTTAGATGCGCAGAAATAGAAATGTCGTGCAGAGGAAAATATGCCAAGTATTTTTATATCATTGAAATTTTTAAATTAAGGTTTTCTTAGATGTAATTTTTGCATTTAACTATTTTTAAAGTGGATTTTAAAGTAAAATCTGTAAAGTTTCTACGTGTCAAAATAATAAAAAAAACAGTTTGAAAAGACCCCCTAGATTTAAATGCGAAAAATTGTGGAATACAGAAAAAGAGATATACATTTACGGGGCATTTTTTTAAAATAAATTAGGAAGTCTGGGTTTCGACCAAAGACGATGATTTCCTGGAACATGTTTCCGGTCATGGTAGGCAAAACAATTTTTTCCGTTTCGTCCATAGAAATAAAAATATAAACCATTTTGATAGCATTTTACACTTTTTTCACTATAAAAACCTCTAAAAATTATAAACATTTTTCAAAAATTTTCTTTAAGCCAAAATATATGACAACCCAATCAAAATTTTTTAAATTTTCAAGTGATTTTTATCATTTCCTGGTAATTTGTAGTACTGCAAAAAGTCGTTTAAAAATTAATAATATATTACCAACTCCAGAGGCGGAAGAATGTAAGCATAATAATATAAATTCGCGTCTAATGATGCCCCCCCCCCCGCTAAGGGTCTCTTACCCATATTTATAAACTGTCCCCTCTCCTTGCACTCCTTAAAACCCACATTAACTTAGAAAATTTTTATACCTCAATTTCAGCACTGCCGCCGGTGATCTCCGATTCGGATACTCCGACTCCAGTTGTCGTCATACCGAGGGTGCGAAAAAGCGAGCATTCCATCCCGCTGCACCCACCCAAGCGTTATCAGGTTCGTGTTACAAAAATAAGAACTAGATTTTACTAGATTTAACGATTTCTTTTTAGTAGAATTTTAATATATCACCAGCTAGCGTACTTATATAAGAAGTAACTGTAGAAGTACCTTTTACGAGATTAAAAAAATATGTTCCGTGGATTTCTAAAAACCAAAAATTTTGGTGAACTAGAATCAAAAAATATCAAAAGTCTTCTAAAAAAAAGAAAATGGAAGATGAAAATCATAATACAAATAATGAAAAACTATGCTATAAAATTAATAAGATAAACCGTTGTGAAAAGTTGTTACCTTTTAGTCAAAAAAAAACAGTCTGAAAAATCGCCGAAAAGATTAGAAATTTCGGATTTTCAAAATTAAAAATTTTTTGATAACTTTTTAGCAATTAAAACTACTGAAAAACACTATAAAACGCTTTATATATTATCCTATCCTATAAGCGAGAAAAGTATGTTTGTTTTCTGTACAGCCGATTTCTCGGCCGTCAGGCCGAATTTCCGGCTGATTTTTGGCATGGAGGTGAAGAAAGACATTTGTCAGTGACGCATTTTTTTGTTTTTCGAAATTCCTTCATTTAACGGTTTTACAAGCAAAATAGTGAAAAATCCTTAACAACTTGGCCGAAAAAAGGTTTGTTCAGAGGATATCTCCCGAGCCAAATGGAATTAGGCGCTAATTTTTGGAGGGCAGATTGGAAATTACATTCTCCTGTGATATAATTCTGCGTTTTGGCAGATTTTGTAATCTAAGATTTTTATGAGCATTTTTCCAAAAAGTCCTTAACAAAATGGGCCAAAGGCCGTGGTGTCCGGGGCATAACTCGAAGCCCTGATGGAATTTCGGGCTGGAATTTCGAAAACTGATGTATTCGATGGTGGGGATCATGCGCAAGTAGTTGGTTTTTGAAAATATAGTAATTTAGTTGCATACAATGCAAATTTGTAAAATTGGTTTTTGCCAGCTGCTCGGGGTCAAACGTGAGTAATTGGGATGGTGAAAAGATAGAGCAGAATGTGATAAATCTCTCCCTTTTTAAATTTTTAAATTTGGTTGAATTACCGGGGCGCCGGGAAGCGCGCCCTTTCGGGGCGCCGGGGGAGGCCCCCCTGTGTGCCACCTAGCCCGTCCCCACTCGCCCCTCACCTAACCCACTCCCAGGTGATAACCCCCCAGGTTTTCGAGCGCTGCCGGGTGGCTGGCCGAAAGGTTAACACTGAACAGCCACCTTCCTAGAGCGCCCCAGCAATGGGTGACGAATTTCTGGCCGATACGCTCAAGGGGGAGTCGTCCTCCGATGGCCATACAAATTTAAACGCTCGCTCCCTTGGGACGCCAAGGGGTTCAGCTAGCCTGTTGCTGGACAAGCCAGACCCGGAAGGGATGGTTCGGCCTGACGGTCGTAATGTCGGTCCTGTTGGCACCAGTACCGATCTGCCGGACCCGGTAAGGGTGTCGGAAACAGCTGAGCCTCAGCAGGGTACGAAGAAGAGAGGGCCTGCCGATTGGACCCGAAGAGGTAGCAATACCGAGGTTCAATTGGCCGGGCGAGTAGCGGCACCCTCCAGCTGTTTTCCGGGACAACACCCCGCGGCCCATCCTCAAACACCGCGGCATCCCATGCAGATCGTGAAAATGCCTTCGGTGCCGAATACCAGCAGTAACTCGACCGGTACGCTCCATACGGGAAAGAAGCTGTCTGACTCGGGATTTTTCGTTCCGCACCCGTGGCAAACGCTGGGCCCTGATTCTTCGAAGCTTTGGGTGCCTCGACAGCAGATGGAACCCGCGCCTGTTCCAAAACCTGAGCCTGTGCTAATACAGAGAAGGAAGGAAAAGATTAGTCGCGCGGAACGTGTAGAACTGAGGTTGGAATACGACCAAAGTTTACAGCGGACCCCGGCCGATCCTGTACTTGCTCAAGGTCCTGTCGATGTGCCTGAGGTTTCGTTGAGCCAGACTCCGAGTTCACGCGAGCGACGGAAGCGAAAGTCTGACGCGGAAGCCGAAAGGGAACCGCGAGTCGGAGGAACCCCTGAGGAGCATGAATCCCAACTCGCGACAAGGCGTGCGAAACGCTTGCATAGCTCCCAGGGAACTCCAGATCAATCGCACCTCCCATCGCAGTCCGTCGAAGGCCTAGCCAACGTCACGCCTCTGTCTCGCCTCAATTCCCAGAGAAAGGCTAATGCGGTGCGCATGAGAGAATTACGTGGCAAGGAAACTCCTGAGGAGCGCGAAAATCGCCTCGCAAAAGTTCGTGAAGCCAAAAGGCTCAGCGACCCTCAATGGAGTGACTGCGACACGCAAGTCTCAGCGTCGACTCCGAACCGCCATGCCACAATTTCTGAGGAAGCAAGGGAACGGTCAAAGCGAGACTCAACCACTGCCCGGGTGAGGATGCTGCGTGCAAATGAAAGCCCAGCTGAGCAAGCCGCACGGCAAGCCAAAGACCTCTACGCTAAAAGGTTGCGGGAGTCTCGGTTGAGCACAAGTGAACGTGAGAATCAGAATCTCGCTCGGGCTGCGCGTGTAGCAGCAAGGCGCTCCAGAGAATCGCCTTCGCGGCGCTCGGAGCGTCTCAGTCGAGTTGCTGTCTCAATGGGAAGTTCACGAAACCGAGAATCCTCATCCCAAAGAGTATTGCGTCTGGAGGGGAATGCTATTCGGACCGCGGCTCACCGGCAGCAACGACGCCAGACGGCTGCTGCGCGTGCAGGTGCTGCTCGGAATCCGGATGCGTTTCCCCATCCACTATCTTGGCAAACCGGACATACCTTGCAGTTGCTGTGGCGCATTGCATTACGCAGTCGAAACAAAATCCCCGAGCGGCAGTTTCCATTCGTGTTGCGGCCATGGCAAAATTGCTATTTCGTTGTTCGACAATTTCCCCCAGGAATTGGAAGATCTTTACAAAGGGGACACCCGTGAGTCGAAAGATTTTCGGGCGAACATTCGAAATTACAATAGCGGTCTAGCTATGGCTTCAATGACGGCCCAAATGGATGCTCCGCCCGGAAGAGGTCCACGGCCTTATCGGATCCATGGAGCAGTGTACCATTTGGTCGGCCCTATGAGACCACAGCCTGGAGAGCAAGCCCAGTATGCCCAAATATACATAATGGACACCGAGCAAGCGGCCAACGAGCTAGCCGGTCGTGCCATCAATCGGCACTGCGATCAAGGCCTCTTTGCCAACCTCCATCTCCTCTTGCAAAACGTCAATATCTATGTACAATCATTGATGATGATGGCAGAGGTGTCAAAAGAGGAATCTGATCAAGCAGCTGCCGATGGGCGGGAAGCTCTCTCAGCGCAGTTGATCTTTCGAACAGATAAAAGGGACGACCAAAAGACGGTTCAATGCACCTACATCCAATGAGATTGCCGTTGTTTACGTTGGTGACGATGAGTCGATACCCGGCGAGCGCGTGTTCTATATCCACGAGCGAGACGGCGGCCTCAGGCAGATCCACTACTTGCAGAAAGAGTGCGAACCACTCTGTTATCCTCTCTTCTTCCCTCGCGGTGGAGAGGGGTGGCACCCTAACATTCCGAAGCAAGTGGGAAATGCTGGCCGTCGTGGTAACTCTGACGATGACGAACCGGCTATTGCCGATGACGGTCCGCCGAACCGGGTATCTCAACGGGAATATTTCGCCTATAACATGTTCGTCAGGCAAGGCTTCAATCCTATCCACCACGGCGGCAAACTTTGCCAACAATATTACGTGGATGCCTTCGCCAAGACTGAACAGAATAGGCTTAATTATTATCTGACTCACCAGCGTGAACTTCGGCTGGATACGGTCCGTGGCCTCACCGATCACATGAATTCCCATGGTCAAGGTCCTGCAGGCAGAAAGATTATTTTGGGCGCCGGTCATCAAGGCAGTGGTCGAAATTCAGTCGGACACTATCAGGATTCAGTGGCCATTATGACCAAGTACGGAAAGCCAGATCTCTTTTTGACCATCACTTGCAATCCGAACTGGCGAGAAATTCAGGAAGGTCTTTATCCAGGCCAGAATGCAATTGATCGTCCAGATTTGGTTGCAAGAGTGTTCGAATTGAAAATGAGAGCACTCGATGAGGAACTTTTCAAAAAGCACATTCTCGGAGAAATGGCTGCCTACGTTTCGGTGATTGAATTCCAGAAACGAGGGCTTCCGCACCGTCATATGGTCCTATTTTTGAAGGAAGATTCAAAGCTCAGAACATCTGACGAGGTTGATAGTATCATCTCTGCTGAGCTCCCTGATTCCGACACAAATCCTGAATTGTTTCAATTGGTTTCGACCAATATGATCCATCGACCTTGCGGTGCCCATAATCCTTCGTCGCCCTGCATGCAAGATAATACCTGTTCCAAAGGATTTCCAAAAGAATCCAGAGACACTACTCTGATTTCAGACGGTTATCCCAAGTACAGACGCCGTGACCAGGGGAAGGACTGTTCGGTATACGGTGAACCGGGTGGATGTCGTACTTGACAACCGTCACGTCGTGCCGTACAACCCTTGCCTCCTGCTTCGGTTTGGTGCTCACATCAATCTCGAATGCTGCTTCTCCTTCGACTCGGTCAAATACCTGTTCAAATACGTCTATAAAGGTACGGACAGAGCTCGCTTCCAACTTCGGGATGTAAACAATGATGAACTTGGACCGGTCAATGAGATCGAACGGTACATACAAGGTCGTTATTTGTGCGCTCCCGAAGCTTGCCATCGTCTTTTCGCATTTCCCATGCAAAAGAAGAGCGACAAAGTCATCCGACTCCAAGTACACCTTGACGGATTTGAAAATGTGGTGTTTGACCCAGAAGATGCACAGGCGGCACTGAATAGAGCTCGCACTCATAAGACCACGCTGAGCGCATTCTTTGCCATCAACACGCACATGCAGCATTTGGAGGATACCGGAGCAAGGGCGGTTATGGTTAACGGTCAAAAGTGTCTGCAGATCGGGAGAAGGAGGGACGCAGAGAAGGTCTTAGATTCCAGAGAATTTTTCTATGGCCAAATGCCGGAAAAATATCGTATCGTTCAAGGCAAATGGGTGCAACGAAAGAATGCGTCGCGGGTGATTGGCCGGATGTACCATGTCTCTCCACGAGACACGGAACGTTTTGCCATGAGACTGCTTCTGCTCTATACGAAAGGCCCCAGGAGCTTCGAGCAACTGCGCACCATCAACGGCACTCAATACAACACCTATTTTGAGGCGGCCAAAGCAGCAGGATACATGAACGATGACTCTGTGAACCTAGCTACGATGCAGGAAGCCGCCGATGTGCGGATGCCTGGAGAACTTCGCAGCTTCTTCTCTTCCTGATCTGCTTCGCTGACGTGCAGGACCCTGTGGCGTTCTGGGAACGCTTCAAGAACGACCTCATGCAGGACTTCCTTGCTCGCGGACTTTCCATCCAAGTCTCTGAGTCAAAGGCCTACTGGGAAATTGTCGAAGATCTGACAGTTCTCGGGGTCAGAGACAGCCCGTTGTTCCAACTCAATTTGCCAAAGTACGACATTGACATCGTCGTTGTTGATCCCGCTGAGCATGCTCGACTCGGGAACGACAAATACTTGCAATTGAATTCAGAACAACTCAGAGCGACGGATGAAGTCTTGGCCGAGGTCGCAGACCCAAGTGGGCAGTGTTTCTTCATTGACGGTCCGGGGGGAAGCGGCAAAACCTTTGTCTACCAAACCATCTACCATGTTCTATCCGGTATGGGCAAGAAGATTCTCTCGGTAGCGTGGACAGGCATTGCCGCCAACCTTTTGGAAGAAGGACGAACAGTCAGCACTGCCTTCCGTCTGTTGATCAAGACCAACAACAAGGAATCCAGCATGAAAAGGCAGAGCATTGAAGCACGAGCACTCGCTGAGATCGACCTGATCATCTGGGACGAAGCACCAATGGCACCCAAAGAAGCACTCGAAGCAGCTGATGCTCTTCTTAAAGACATTATGCAAAACGATGTGCCATTCGGTGGAAAGGTTATGGTACTTGGAGGAGATTTCCGACAGGTACTTCCCGTGGTCGATGGCGGTGGTCGTGCTGAAATGGTGTCAGCCTGCTTGAAGTCATCCCGACTCTGGCCTCTCTTTCGAAAGTTTGAGCTCACGACCAACATGAGAGTTCGGGATGCAGGCAACGATTGGAAGGACTATCTTCTCGCTCTGGGTAATGATCTACTCGACAAAGACGAAGAGGGATACCTCGAGGCACCCGAAGATCTTAGATGCGAGCAAGATTTGGCCGAAGCAGTCTTCCGACCAGCGTTCGATGAAGGAGTTGAACTTTCTGAAGTAGCTATCCTTACACCCAAGAACGAACAAGCTCTCGAGCTCAATAATCGGATCTTGGATATGCTACCCGGAGAAGTCAAAACCTTCAGAAGTGCTGACTCGGCCGAGACTACTGATCCAACCGATGCTGCCAACTTCAACGCAGAGCTTCTGAACAAGATGACACCATCTGGAATGCCTCCCCACCTGCTCCATCTAAAGGTGGGTTGCATCGTGATGCTTCTGCGAAACCTCAGCGTCAAAAAGGGTCTCTGCAACGGTACAAGGCTGATTGTCGAGCAAATCGGAGCCAGAATTCTCCTCTGCTCAATTGCCACGGGTAGCAGGAAAGGCAAGAAAGTGTTAATCCCCCGAATTGATTGCCTTTATGACAAAGCCACACTACCATTCGTGCTGAAGCGACGCCAATTTCCGGTTCGGCTGAGCTTCGCAATGACCATCAACAAAAGTCAAGGGCAATCATTCGAAAAGGTCGGCATTGCACTTCTTCACGAGGACATCTTTGCACACGGCCAGCTTTATGTCGCTCTCTCAAGAGCGCGGAGCCGCAAAGGTGTCTCGATAATGGCCAAGGACAACAAGATGAAGAACGTCGTTTACGAAGAAGTCCTCGAATAAATTTCTGAATCTTTTGTCATTGTTGATTTTTTGTTATTATGATTGTTATTGTTGTTCCTTTCGTTTGTTATTATTGTCGTTGTTTGTTGCTTTTTATATTATATTTCGCCGGATAAATATTTTAATAACCTAAATATGTGTCCGACTTCCTCAACATTGGTTCTTTGCCATAATTATCTCTAAACTTTTTTGAGTTGTATCTTTGAATCTATTTTTCAGCTTTATGTGTCCGGCCTACGGCCGGCACATAAAATTCCGGTAGACTTTTCGAGAGGTCAGAGTCATGTGGACCTAGAAGTCGCCAGTGGAAAACTGCCGCGAAGCGGCTTTTTTTCACTGGTTAACAGATAACAGATACGAATGGAATCGATGGAAAAACAAATAGTGGTTTCCGCCCTGTCAACAGCCCAGAACCGAATTTGCTTAAATTTATTGGACTAATTATCAAAATTACTGCACTGTAGTTCCTTAAAAAGTGGTATTTTAAAAGCCCATTTTTTCAGAAACGAATCCACTGGAAATCGGCCGGCTCCATCTCATAGCTGCCAGAAAAAATTACTGTGGTTTTTGAGCGTTTCTTGATTGTTTTCATCCGGTTCTGTTTCATTGTTTATCTATTTTTATTTTTTTGTGCCATTATCGCTTTCTACGGGTACCCGTCTCCTCATCGATCTCCGGTTTTCAGTTGCTATTACTCGACGAGATTATTCACAATAAATAAACCAATTTTGAATAGAATCGAAGCGACGACAGAATAATGCGCGAAATTTTTGCTGTTTTTTGAAAATTTTTGAAACTTATTTTTCGAATTCAAGAAATACTTGCATATCCATAGCCTCATGGCTGCCCGAAATGGCCGGAAGATATGCGGGTTCTGGATAGTTAGACTTAGATTTTTAAATACTAGACGTAGATTTTTAAATTTTTATGTTTTCGGACCACATCATCGCGACCCGGTGAGCATCAAAAAAATATAGTAAAAATTTCAAAATACAATAATTTAAGAAAGTTAACACTTTTCGAACGTGCACCAAAGAAATCCACTAAGAGTTTTATAAACAACTCAAGATGATGTAATTCAAGAAAAAGAAGTTATCGACAAAAAAATGTTCTAAAACTTAGGTTTGTTTCGAAGAACTGATTTGGGATGGTATGCAAGATGCGAGGACACTCGATGTTTCATAAATTTTCACAAACCAAAGAATATTGACAAGTCCAATAATTGTTTCCCCCGTTCTCGAATCTTTTTAGATCTATTCGATATTGTTCGACCGATTAATGCAAGAGATTCTTCGAGATTATTCAGAATAAATAAACCCATTTTGAATAGCGAATCGCAAAAACAGCGCGGAATATTGCATGGTTTTTGTCAGCGAAGCTGCTTACACACATCGGAATTTTTTTGGTACGTTAAGTTTATGTAAAAACTTTTTGTATTTTTTTTTGAGAATACAGTCAACGCAGAGTTATATTACAGGCTAGCAGCATTTTTCGACATATTCATGTAACGAAACACGCTGTTGCAACAAGATTTGTCCATTTTATTGGCCGACGCCTTTTCCACTAGCCGTCAATTTTTAAAGTATTTTATTGAGCTTAAAGGAATTGAATCCCAAAACGCTTTTTTACGTGGTTTTTGCGCGGAAAATCGTTGAAATCATTGAAGCACATGGCTTTTACACTTCAATTGATCGATCCACGCCTATTAAAAACCTAAATAATTTTTTTGCCTTAGCTGATGAAACACATTTTTTACCAACATTTTTGGTAGTTTTACCCTTTTATGGCAAGCCCGAGCGTAATAACGTAAAAGTATAACGTAAAAGCCTTATATACGCTTTTTTGATAAATACCTACATTGACCAAAATCAATTCTTCAGAAGGATTGAACCTGTACGTCTCTTAAACAGAGCTAGGCAGACAAAGTATTGGCTATGTAAGATATCTCCCGAACTGCACTGCAAACCAAAACATATTTTTTTATTGGTCCAAAATCCAGATTCTGCTAGGTAATTCTAAAAACCATTTGGTGCTATTAAAAATTTACGAAATTTCCATGCCTGGTTTCATTTTCCGATTTTTCAGAATCTCGTAAGATACGCTGGATGGAAGGCGTGCGCGTACAATTTCTGCAGCGCTTAATGCTTCTTCATACTATGGAAATTTCGAGATTCTGAAAATTCGAGTGTTTCAAAAATTTGAGATTGTGAAACTTGGAGGTGCTGACCATTGGGTATGCGGCAAATCGGTGCTAAAAATTCGAGCTTCAGAAAATTCGAAATTTAATTTTCGAGATTCTGAAAATTCGAGATTTCGAAAATTCGAGATTCTGAGAACTCGATATTCTGTGAATTTGGAAATTATCAATGTCGACATCAGAAATTTCGACATTGTAAATTTCGAAATTCGGAAAGTAACGTCTGTCCACAGGACGGTTATGGAAATTCGGGCTAGACAGTTGGAATCGCCATAGTCAAAAGCCTTTTTCCCTTTTTTCTCGAATTTTTTCTCGGCCCCTGGAAATCGCCGAAATTCCGCTAAAATCCGCCCGGACCAGTCATCCGCATAGTTTCCTTTTTCTTGCTCTTTCACCACTCTTTTCCGTCAGCTAACCCGACCATGGGGGGAAGGGAACGTCAACAATAAACCGTATATTTTTTCAGCGCCGGGTTGCGGCTCCGGTTGCAAACCCTTCTCTTCCCCTCCTCACACACAACACTTCGCAAAACAACCCCCACACCAGCACACCTGAAAAAAGAACGCGCTGTTTTTGTTGACGCAGTAAAAAAGGCGAGAGAGAGAGAGAGAGAGAGAGAGCGAGAGAGAGAACGAACGCCCCCATCCCCCCAAAAAGCACCTAGCTAGCGAACGAAATGGGGTCACCTAACCCTTACGAGTATCAAAAGTGGGAATAAAATATTAATGCATCTTTGAAACGGGATAAGCTGATAATGCCGATTTTACAGAATGCCGATTTTACAAAATGCCGATTTTCAGAACGCCGATTTACAGAACATCCAAAAAAATAAGAGTTTTAATTGCGGCTTAAAATCATGTAAAGTAAAATAGTTATCGCGAAAGCAATTTCGGTAACTCCGGCTGGGCGATATGCAAAAAAAGCTTTGTATTTAGTTTTTTATTATACATAGAACGTTATTTTGTTGCGTTACCAGAGATTTTCTAACCTCGCGTAATTTCGTTTGCCGCTTTGCAATTAATTTCCGGATAATTTAGAGACGCCTGGTAGATCGCACGAATTATTACCCATTCCGTCCCCCGATTCACCTAGCTACCTTGAAACGTACATTTTTTTCGCCACTCAGTCGGCACCTTATCTATCCCGGTGCCAGCCGGTGCTAACTTGTTTCAAGAACCAAACCGACGGGCAATACTGCCTGAAATGCTGATACCCAGGTGATTAGGTGCCATCACACCATTGAGTTTAGGTAATTACGTACATGCGCGGAATGACCATCTTAAAAATTTGGTTCTTTTCCATTATAGGGGGGTAGAAATACCTAGAAATGCTGGAAATACCTAGTAACGGAATAGTAAGCGCTGCATAACGATTTTAATAAAATTCAGATAGATTTCAGGTCAAAAAATCATCTAAGAATTTTTAAAATTTTGGAAATTTTGGCTGGAATCTGCATTTTGATCGAAAAATAGGTATTTTTGCATTTTTTGATAAGGATTTACGTTGAAGCCGTGTTTTTAATAAAATTTAAATTGCTTTCAAGAGGAAAAATCGTATAAAATTTTTGCACATGTTGAAATTTAGTGAAAAATCGGCATTTTTTTATCGAAAAATCCATATTTTTGTACTTGTTGATGAAACTTGTAAGGGTTTTACGTTTAGGGATGTTAAAAAAACCAGTGAAAAAAAGCCGCTTCGCGGCAGTTTTCCACTGGCGACTTCTAGGTCCACATGACTCTGACCTCTCGAAAAGTCTACCGGAATTTTATGTGCCGGCCGTAGGCCGGACACATAAAGCTGAAAAATAGATTCAAAGATACAACTCAAAAAGTTTAGAGATAATTATGGCAAAGAACCAATGTTGAGGAAGTCGGACACATATTTAGGTTATTAAAATATTTATCCGGCGAAATATAATATAAAAAGCAACAAACAACGACAATAATAACAAACGAAAGGAACAACAATAACAATCATAATAACAAAAAATCAACAATGACAAAAGATTCAGAAATTTATTCGAGGACTTCTTCGTAAACGACGTTCTTCATCTTGTTGTCCTTGGCCATTATCGAGACACCTTTGCGGCTCCGCGCTCTTGAGAGAGCGACATAAAGCTGGCCGTGTGCAAAGATGTCCTCGTGAAGAAGTGCAATGCCGACCTTTTCGAATGATTGCCCTTGACTTTTGTTGATGGTCATTGCGAAGCTCAGCCGAACCGGAAATTGGCGTCGCTTCAGCACGAATGGTAGTGTGGCTTTGTCATAAAGGCAATCAATTCGGGGGGATTAACACTTTCTTGCCTTTCCTGCTACCCGTGGCAATTGAGCAGAGGAGAATTCTGGCTCCGATTTGCTCGACAATCAGCCTTGTACCGTTGCAGAGACCCTTTTTGACGCTGAGGTTTCGCAGAAGCATCACGATGCAACCCACCTTTAGATGGAGCAGGTGGGGAGGCATTCCAGATGGTGTCATCTTGTTCAGAAGCTCTGCGTTGAAGTTGGCAGCATCGGTTGGATCAGTAGTCTCGGCCGAGTCAGCACTTCTGAAGGTTTTGACTTCTCCGGGTAGCATATCCAAGATCCGATTATTGAGCTCGAGAGCTTGTTCGTTCTTGGGTGTAAGGATAGCTACTTCAGAAAGTTCAACTCCTTCATCGAACGCTGGTCGGAAGACTGCTTCGGCCAAATCTTGCTCGCATCTAAGATCTTCGGGTGCCTCGAGGTAACCCTCTTCGTCTTTGTCGAGTAGATCATTACCCAGAGCGAGAAGATAGTCCTTCCAATCGTTGCCTGCATCCCGAACTCTCATGTTGGTCGTGAGCTCAAACTTTCGAAAGAGAGGCCAGAGTCGGGATGACTTCAAGCAGGCTGACACCATTTCAGCACGACCACCGCCATCGACCACGGGAAGTACCTGTCGGAAATCTCCTCCAAGTACCATGATCTTTCCACCAAATGGCACATCGTTTTGCATAATGTCTTTAAGAAGAGCATCAGCTGCTTCGAGTGCTTCTTTGGGTGCCATTGGTGCTTCGTCCCAGATGATCAGGTCGATCTCAGCGAGTGCTCGTGCTTCAATGCTCTGCCTTTTCATGCTGGATTCCTTGTTGTTGGTCTTGATCAACAGACGGAAGGCAGTGCTGACTGTTCGTCCTTCTTCCAAAAGGTTGGCGGCAATGCCTGTCCACGCTACCGAGAGAATCTTCTTGCCCATACCGGATAGAACATGGTAGATGGTTTGGTAGACAAAGGTTTTGCCGCTTCCCCCCGGACCGTCAATGAAGAAACACTGCCCACTTGGGTCTGCGACCTCGGCCAAGACTTCATCCGTCGCTCTGAG